GTGAACTGTATTGAACCAGTAGATGCGGCCTTCGTGCGCTTTCCGCAGATAACCCAGTGTAGAGATCCGTTTAGCGGCCATATCGTGGATGTGCTGATAGATTGCTGCTGCGCTTTGAGGCCCAAGTGATCCGCTACCACTCGTTAACGGGGGTGGCATTGACCCCACCGATGGGTCATGACTGATGCTGGATTTGGTGTCCCGGCGCGAAAGACTGGGGGCAAATGTCGAGGAAATCATATTGGACATGGCTATGTAGTTGGAGAAGGTTGCCTACCCCGGCAGAAACGTGGATTCCGTACTCCGTAGGCAATGAAGATACACGATTAAAAGGGGCTGGCTCAAGAAAGCGTACTAGTAGGAAGATCCGCGGGATCGGGAAGGAGATGGAATCTCCGTGCCACGTGACCGTGATTACTGCCAGGCAGAGACGGAGCTGGCGAGCCTGTAACGTCTGGGGAAAGTATGATGGGCTAGCGAATAAGGATATCATAAGCAGTAGTTCCAGTCACATAGATTACTGGTACGCGAGCCGATTGGGAATTAGCCTCATCTAAAACATGCTATAGATTAGTAGGCTTGACAAATTAACTGGATTATATATTAAAATTGAGACACTCAAAATATCCACCAAGCATGTTAGCTCAGGGGAAGAGCGCCGGGCTCATAACCCGGAGGTCCCTGGATCGAAACCAGGACATGCTATCTGTTTCTTTTTCTCTCTTTTTGCTATCGTAGCTAACCGCTTCTTTTTGTTCATTCAAAACATGCTAGCATAGGCTGTTCACGGTACCTAATAGCTCGGTATCCATTCTTACTACGGAGTACAACCAAGAGAATCCCGAGTCGCCGTGTTGCTGTCGAGGAGATTCCCCCGGTCCGTCCCAAGAACAGCTGATGCTTTTCAGCCGACATAGATTTGATTTTCATAGTTGCCATGGTGGTGGATACAGATGAACTGAGTATGTACGTACCGGTAGCATAACTCTATTTACATACCAGTATCCTTGAGTAGGTTATTCGAGGGAGTGATACACATATTATGTGGCAGGTGCCATCTATATCCTGAAAAGGACTAGCGTAGGGGTCTAACTGGCTATACCTGAATAGGTTAGTCGCTGACTATCACCCCGGCTGGCCACTGACATGTGACCGACCGCCTTCCCAAAGGGATTGGCTCCGAGCTGAATGAATGAATAGGAAGGATATCTTCCGGCACTTGACCACCTTCTTTCCCCTCCTTACGAATTAATGGCCCCTTGAGATGACCTAGTATCAGGTCTTCTCTGTGGCGAGCCCCAATACTTTCTTGCGGCTTTGTGTTTCAATATGCTTCTGCGCTCGGCCACTTCTTATTTGATTAGAACTGGCCAGGGGTATCAACTATTCCTAGCATGACACGCCGACTTGTATGTCCCTTTTCTTCTGATCATGGAGTGCTCCTATCAGAAGATTTTAGAGCTAATCGGATATCTCTATAGGTTCGAGCGGGCGTGCAGCTCGCGATTTTCGCATCTTTCATCGCTCTTCTCGTCGTGACCTTGGACAACAGGTTCCGTGTCCTTCCTGCCTCCATCCACGGCCATCTTCCATCCCACTATGCTGGCTTCGCCATCACCGATGTCACCATTGTGACTTGTTCCTCCATCAACGTTTTCTCAAACTGTCAACCGAGCCAGGAGTCCTGGTCCCAGGTCGAGAAAGACCTCTACCTCCGCACCGGCTGGACCTCAAGCGCATTTGTTCGATTTGAGCGAAAGAAAGAGGAAGAACTGCTTCCTACAGACAAGGTTGTTATTGACCTTAAAATTAGCCGACTTGTTCCCGAGTATTCGGAGGATCCTGAGGCCCAGGCAGAGACATGGGAGCAAAGACCCGGTGGTATCTGGCTCAAGCGAACCGCTAAGCGCCACGCGAGTGACTCTGGGAAAGCAATCACCGCTATCGATGTCCTCTTCGGTGCCGATGCAGTCGATCCGCGAATTGGCTGGGAAGTCAGGGATACTCCATTGCTACTGGATAGCCGTACGGAGGAACTGGAAACTCGAATCAGCGTTCGTCGGGGAGATCCTCCCAAAACGAAGAAACCAGTGCCCAGGATAAACGAGAATGGGCGCTTCAAGATCATGCAGCTGGCTGACTTGCATCTGAGCACCGGCCTAGGAGCTTGCCGTGAACCCGTCCCGGCTGAACCCGTTCCAGGACAGAAGTGTGAAGCCGATCCTCGGACGCTAGAGTTCGTGGAAAGGCTTCTAGACGAAGAGCAGCCTGATTTTGTTGTATTAAGTGGCGACCAGGTTAATGGTGAGACGTCGAGGGATGCCCAGAGTGCTCTTTTCAAGTCCGTTAAACTCCTTGTTGATCGCAAGATACCCTACGCGGCCATTTTCGGCAACCATGATGACGAGGGTAACCTGAAGCGACCGGAGCTTATGACTATCTTGGAGGATTTGCCGTACTCTTTATCTACTGCCGGCCCCGAGGAAATCGACGGAGTCGGAAACTATTATGTCGAGATTCTTGGCCGCGGAAGCACCACCCACTCCGCGCTAACCCTTTACCTTTTGGACTCACACTCGTACTCTCCTGATGAGCGGAATTATCGCGGGTATGACTGGATCAAGCCGAGTCAGATTCGGTGGTTCAAGAACACGGCTCAAGGGCTGAAGACCAAGCACCATGAATACACCCACATGCACATGAACATGGCTTTCATTCACATTCCATTGCCGGAGTATCGTGATCCCAATAACTACTACCGGGGCAACTGGACAGAAGCCCCAACAGCGCCGGGCTTTAACTCGGGCTTCAAGGATGCCCTCGAGGAAGAGGGTATCCTGTTTGTGAGCTGCGGACAGTAAGCGATGTCTTTTCCATCCATCCATGACTCTTTGCTAACCCGCTTTCAGTGACCATGTCAATGACTACTGCATGCTCAATCGAGATAACGAGGAAAAGCCGTCCCTGTGGATGTGCTACGGAGGAGGCGCTGGTTTCGGCGGGTACGGAGGATACGGGGGTTATGTGCGCCGCGTGCGGTTCTATGATTTTGACATGAACCCTGGCCGTGTGGTGACATACAAGCGGCTGGAGTATGGCGAGACGGAAGCCAAAATTGATGAGATGATGATTATCGACGGTGGCATTGTCAAAGGGCCCGAACAAGAAAAGTGAATTGGAGATTGATGCCTTTCCAAGGCGCTGAAGTGGTATTATTTCTCCTTTCTTTTTGAGCTGGGTCTCGCGAGACGCATCTGGCGCTGCTTTTCGGACGATATCATCTATTCGAGGCTCTTACATCTATTACTGGGGAGGCGTTCGTTCCTATTTGAGACTTAACCGGCGGGCATTCATTTTCTTTTCCTTGTATCATATTAGTATTCGATTCAAGCATCTTCAGGATGCGTGGGCCGCGATAGCAGGCAATTTCTCGAGAAAATTGATTATTTTTATCTTCTTTTCCTTCCTACTCTATCACCACCACTTTTCATAATACACGCGCTCCGTGTCCCCGAGAAAGCCCTCAAGGCTGCTCACCACATCATCCGTCATGCCAGGCGGACCACACACATAACACACCGTCTCTTCCGCCTCAATACTACCATCAGGTTTACTGACCGCCTTGCGTAAATCATCCCGATTGATCCGCCGCGTGTGCAGGGTCAGATCCCCAGATTCCGCAAATTCAGTAAGAGAACTTCGATCCAAACCAGGATCGGTGATGAAAAGATCTAAGCTAATCTGCAATCGACGAACCTGTGACTGCGACGCAATGATCTGTCGTAGACGTGAAAGAAACAAGATCTGCTGCAGGCTACTAGTACCATTCCCGGTTACTGTTCCTTCTTCTTTCCGTGGGAGTTTCGTTGAGTACAGAAATCGAATATTGAATGATGGGTGAGGAAGAGCGATCTCGTCGCCATTGTTTAGATGCGAGAGCATGGATATCAGTGGGCTATGGTTTTGTTAGTATTTAGTTATGAATCATCTTTTCTATTTGGTGAGTCGACATGGAACACTCACTTGATCCCCATTCCACCTGCCACGAAAACTACATTTCGAACTTTCGTCAAGTCCACGCGGGAAGATGGAGGCCATACAAAACTCCCTCCGACGCGGATGCTAAGTTCTGTACCTAGGATCTGATCCGCCGGTCGCCAGAGCCATACGCTGGCTGGGTTGGAGGGCGCATATTGCACGGCTAACTCTACGTAGGGTGGCCGACCGCGCGGGTCGATGGGTGGCACGTCGGTCTCATCAGTTGTGATTGCCTCGGCGGGGAATTCTAGGGATGGGAGGACTTGTGCGTCGGCTGGAGTGGAGGTAATACTGAAGCCGCCTGCGTTGGGGATGGAGGGAATATGGACGTCCAGCCATTGACCCGGAAGGAATGTTAGGGGTTGTTGGGGGTTGGCTAACTGTTGGGTGTTAGCATGATAGTATGTATATACGGTCGGTCGGGAAGTGGATATGTCGCTGATAGTGTAGAGATTATAGGTGTGCGGTTGGAAAGGTCATGTAGAAAAAATATCATTATGGAAAGAAAATCATACTTCATCCACTTCCTGACCTTCATCATCTTCGACATTCTGGACCTCCGGGGGGATGGTCAGCTGTAGCAGTCGTACGGAGGGGTTGGCCTGTTCGATATGCGACAGCCGGACATTGTACAGTCGGTTCTGGCGGGGTTCGGCAGCGGTGCGCAATTGATGGGGCAGTGAGCCCTTCCGGTTTGTCGGGGAGCTCATGTGGTGTGCTTGGTGATGGCAGCACAATTGGTTCTCAGCCGATGGCTGGCGCTTAGAGAAGAGAGCTGATGGGTGATGGCGAGATTGGACTGGGAGCAGTTGATGGCACTGCAGTACTAGTCGGAGTCTCCGCATCCGGAGGTCCAATGAATGTTGCGGAGGACGGTTGCTTCTTGGAGATAGTAGTAGCAGCAGTAGTTTTTTAGAGGGTTCACAGGGCCAGCTGGCGGGATAAACATTTAGTGCCTTTACATGGATTAGAGTAAGTCATTATTTTGCATAGAAATTGACTGTGATGTAGTTAACAAGAGCGCATTGCCGGTTTGGTAGAAGTACAAAGTACTAGTAGTCGAGTCGAGGCGAGATGGATGACGTTGGGGCATGTCATGTGCCTTCTTGGTTTGTTTGCAGCGAACTGGAACCAAGTACTACTTACTATCCTTCTCTTCCACATTGTATGTACTCGTTCCCATCTTTGTGCTTCAACATCACATCCTACTGATTCAACGATATGGCTCAGTGAGATAAACAGGGAAATTATGGTGTTCCCTAATGACTGCCAAACCCCTCCTCCAGTTCTCTTATGCAGGTGCAGTCACAACTCACAACAGTACTAGTAGTAGGTAAATCACAACTACTTACAGTCTCCCAGTTTGCTCCACCTGGGCGCTTCGCACTCTGGTTGGACAGTCCCGAGCATTTCTTCCAATGAAAATGAATGGCCATAGTCACATGACCGGACACCGCCCTCATCTCATCGTCCCCCTGCCTCGACACTTCTTCCCTCTAGCACGGAGGTATTGAGCCATCTAATACGGAGTAGTCATTAGCTATTAGAGCTGATACTCTCATGGGTCGCACCCACCAACGGGCGGCCAGATTCCTCTCTTAGTCTCGTTGCGTAGAGGGTTGCTGGGAGCATGCAGATCGCCTTCCCCATCACACGCTAGGCGTGTGACGGCTGTCAACCAAACGGCTACTTCTGCCGCCTCATTGGTGATGGACCCCGGCCTGGCGCCGATGCTGGCGCTTCCTAGACGGCAAGCATTGGCCAAATGCAACCCGTGGGAAACATCAACTGCATTTCCCGCTTTCCTGGCTTGCCATTGCATTGCTGTGATAGCGCCGTTCTCCTCATCTGGACCATGCACCACAAGAGGATGGACGCCGGCGCTTCTGGGGTGCCAGACTTCTTATCCTCGCCATCTCCCCGGCTGATCATCCGGAGCTCCTCTCTCTGGTAGCCATTTTTGTCTCCTTGCTCTCATCTATGTGTTAGCACTTGGTGTTTGATGCCAGTGAGCTGAACGTACAGCCACAACCGACCTGGACTCCAGTCACAGGTGAAACACGAGCCCAGGCACTCCATCAGAGCGAGTACACTTTTCATCGTGATACTATCCATTGTGGTTTATCTTCCTAGTTGGCTTTGACGACTTCGCATAAATCAACACCGTCAGTCATGATGCGCATGCGCATGCCGCCGCTTCGTGATCTCTTCCCGACGAAATGGCGTAATCACAACTTGATGTATATATTGATGACCATCGAACTGCCCCTTACGGTCATTATCCTCACGCTTACGGGTATCGCCTCTCATGACCTCTACCGGACGAAGCTCTGGCAGGATGGCGCCGACAATGGGTTCAACAGTTCGCCAAATGAAAGGCTCTACGCCGCGGCCAACTATCGATCCTTCAAGACCCCCATTGTCTGGAGTTCATTGTATGTGAAAGCCTTCTGGTCCAGAGCCCCCCTATGTCATGACTGACACTGGAACAGCATCACCGAGTACAACCTCGTCCTTGGAATTTTGAGTGTCTTCGTGTGGATTACAAAGATTCCGGTCCACATCCTTCACATGCTTACTCCGCCCTTGTCGGCCTTTGTCCACGCTGGCTTGATCGCCGTGTATATCTATTCCGTTCGTTATCAGGCCGGTCCCGACATGTCTGACCCCGAGCATCCTCAACCGGGCGCACCATGGTACATCACGAAGAAATGCTCAGTGGCTGCCGTCAAATCAGACGTTCACTACTGTATGCAAGCCAAGGCACTGTTTGCATTTTCGATAATTCTCATGTGAGGACGCCCTTATCCTCTGATACCATTTTTGGGGGGGAACGGCCAGCTAATCTGCTCAACAGCCTATACTACGTTGTCGTGCTCGGCGTCAGCTTGCAAAACTGCGTCATGACGAAAGAAGAGCGTCAAGAACGGGAAGAGCTGCGCGAAGAACGAAGGACTATGAAAGAGTTCGAAGACTACGTTCTCAAGTCGCCTGGCATTCCTATGACCGTACCGAGACAAACCGGGCCCATGCCGACGGGCATGCCTGCCAGAGCACCATTCCATAAAACTATCACTCGAAGCACTGATGTATCGTCGGCGGATCTCCCACTTCGTCAACACTTCAGTTCACCGAACCCTCGCCGCTCAATGCACCAAGTGTCGGCGGAGACACTTTCCGGACATCAAGCCCAGTCCCAGACATCCTTTGTGCAGACGAACAAGGCGACTGAGAACTAAGTGGGGTTGCAGTGCAGACTAGTCTACCTAATCCTGGAGAGCTACATAAGGCTAGGGAGGCTCCTCGAGGCAATCGCCAATGTAATGGGATTCACGTGCTCCATAGCTCTGTTACCCGCCCACCATTGATGGCTTAAGATCGAACTCATGCTTACTTATACTCTTACATCCGTCCCTACATCCACACCCCAAAGTCCTGATTTCTATACCATTTTGCGCGCTGGATCACGCGGAGTTTATCGGTTATATTTGGAAGTGTGATGGCGGGGCAGTCATCAGGATCACATAATGTTGTTTGTTTGACTAGTTCGCCTGTCGCTAGTTCGTCTAGGGTTATCGCGCTTCCCTTCCCAATATTCTCTTATTCCCCCTCATCACGGTAAAAAAATATTCGAGTATAGCACCAATATATGTTGTTGTTGACCACTGTCTTATATTAAAGAGCTTCGGATTCTATAAGTAGTAGCAGCCTACACCTCACTCAGGGCTTTCTTGGATGCTGATGTTTGTAGGCTGCTGTATGACTCCCTTTTAATCTACATTGTTTCGATGGTTGCCAACTTACACCTGCTATTGTCCGGACCAGGCGCCTTGCCAACTCTAATAATATATCATATCGCGGCAACTTCGTTGAGCCGAAGGGGACGCCGTGTACGACTAAGAACTCTCTGCAGCACAGACAACTGAACACAGTAGAATATATCAAAAAAGATGGATCCATGAAATGACAATACGAGTTCATGCCATGTGGGGTATGTAATAAGAGGATGAAGTTCGTGTTTACTATGCATATTCGATTTACTAGCATATCACGTGACTATATGTAACAGGAGGACAACCGGGGGACGGGCTTCTGTAGCACGTGACCGCAACCGGACGAACTTACTGCTATCATATCAAGACTTGGTCGGGTTCTCACGCAAGTGACCTCTCGAGATCTCCCACTTACGGCTGATTAACGTCCTCATCATGTCCCTTACCCGGACCTCCTCTGTCCTGCGACAATGTCGCCTACAATTGCACCCGGAAGCCCTCTCCCTGACGCGCACTTCCCCTCCCCTGAGCCATTCTACCCGCCATTGCCGACCCTCGCGCTATGGAGCCAAATCTTTCCATACGACGACGCCCTGTAATGCAGCGCCACGATCTCCCATCGCGCGGAAGGCTCAATCCACTCGGAGACAAGCCGTCTTCACAATTGACGGCGTATTCGCCCACACTGTCCAAGGCGATGTCGAGAAAATGCTACAAAGGCTGGAGAAGACCGTGGAGGAACACTATGACCGGTGGAAGGAAACCCACAGCTACGAGGGAAGCTACGGTCGCGCGAAGCTGAGTCTCGACAAATACAAACAAATCGCACAATCCCTACTGCGCACCGCCTATTCCCAGCCTCCATCCGCACGTGCGATTCGCGCAATTTCCACCAATGTCGAGGTTATCTGGAACGTTTCGAGGTGCCTACTGAGTCCCGATAATCGGGCCCTGGAAGTTTGGCTCCACAGTGCTTGTGCTCTCGCAGGCGCAAGATCTCCTGCCCTTATGCTCGCCCAACGGAACCTCGACGAGGCGCATCCGAATTACCCCCTACGCACTCAATTCCTGGATAAAGTTGAACAATGGGCGTTGCAAGAACGTGATCCTCGTGCTATGCATGTTTATGTGAGAACGCTGATTGCCCGCGGGGAACATGAAAGCGCGGTGCCGTTTATGGATGAGCTCATGTCCACCATTTATCCTTCGACACGAGTGGAGGGCCTGGAGACGCCTCTTTCGTTCTACAACATTCCCCAGGTGTGGCCGACGTATATTCAACTACAGGAGGGGCTGAAGAAGAAGGGTGTGAGTTGGGGCGTTAGCAGAGATGAGCTGGCCCGTCTGGCAGGAGTGGATTACCAAGAGCCCAACTACTTGTCGAGTTATGCGTCCGCGATGTTTGAGGCTGGTGATTATGAGAAGTACGAGCAGTACATGCATCAGGCTGCAATGGCCGGTGTTCCCAGTGCTTGCGTCTCTTTGGCCCATTTCTACTACCTTACTGCGAGAGGACTGTTTCCCCGTCGGGGAGAGAAGACGTTTGTTCCGCGGTCGGAAGAAGACTCTAGCGAGGTACTCAAAAAGGGTAGATTGGAAACTCTTTACTCCAGTATTGTCCGTGGTCTGGCACCTCACGAATACTACAATAATCTTGCTCTCGAGTGGTGGGAGCTGGGATTGAACATGGGCAGCGATTTGTCTGCTATGTTCCTTGCTCTCGCTTACCGAGAGGCCGGTCAGCTAGAAGTTGCAGATTCTTTTTACAAGCTGGTAGATACGCCTCGTTTATGGGCCCCCAAATTCTCCGCTGATGATTTCGCCATGAATTGGGACAATCCGTTTGCCAGCTTCTCTGTGCCACGGCGAGTACTCAATGTAAAATGGTATGACAGCGATGCCAAATGGACCACTGAGAAATAGCCAAAAAGAAAGGGAATCAATGGAAACTCAAAACGCCAAAATCACGCTTGTCTAGCAATGCTGATAGTCGTACCAAGATGCGTTATGTCACATGAAGCGCGTCGCGACGCGAACTGGGAAGAGTGAAAAGGGATTTAAACTTTCGGGCTCATAAGGTTTACTCGGTGTCAAACCAGGTGTGGAGGATGTCTGGCAAAGCGTCTCGTGGGGCCAGTGCCGGCGTGAAGTTCATTCAGGTGTTGCTCGACATGGGAGCTGTTTATTTTTATGCTTGCCGGCATAGTTGGTGCTCATGCCTTAAGCGTACACATAGTCTTCTGCCCGCCATCCAGCTTGTCTCTTCGGGCGGCTGTGAAGGCAGAGGAAGCAAGTTCGAAAGGTGAGTCAAACCGACCCTTCACTCTGAGGGAGTTCAGAACCTGCCCAAGTGCTTGCCGGTAGGAGTCGAGGTCACGGGAGGCTCAGTTATGGTGAGGGTTGCTGCAGGTGCAATCATCACTGGAGTTGTTGTTTCATCCTTGCAGCCGAACCAGCCGGGGGTCTTGCAGGTCGTGGTCGAGGTCATGGGAGGTTCAGTTGTGGTGATTGTTGGTGCAGATGTAATATCCGAGGTGGTTGTTGGATCTTTGCAGCCAAACCAGCCAGGGGTCTTGCAGGTGGAGGTGGAGGTGGAGGTCGACGTTGTCTCGCCAGTCGTGGTTGGATCCAAGCAGCCCCACCATCCGGGAGTCTTGCAGGTAGATGTTCTGCTAGTCGTAGTAGACGTGGATGTAGATGTGGCTGAGGTGGTAGTAGTAATTTCAGAGCCGTTACTGCGGAAAAACTTCCAGAGTTCGCAATCGTAGCACTCCTCTTCAGGCGCACAGGGAGGCACATCGTCGTAGCCAGCAAGAACATTCGCGATGACATAGTTAATGCGATGTTTGCTGAGACCAACACGCCAGCCCTTGTCTTCAACAGTGTCATAGACACACATCTGGCCAGTATGGCATGCGGATTCCATGGCGTAGCCACCCCAGGTACAAACTGAGCTAACTCCATTGCAAGTTCCCATGTAGACCGGGTCTGCCGTATGTCCGAAATGATATGATCCAGTGTTCTTACGTGACTGAGGGTAACGTGAGTCATGCCCTGGCGGACTGGGAAGACCCAAACGAGCTGCTGGGAGTGCTTCCGGAACAGCTTCGAAGGTAACGACTGGTACCCCAAATGTCAAGCCTAGCAAGCTGGACACCGCACCACCCAAAGAATGGCCGGTCAGCCAAACGTTGGCATTTGGGTACATCTCGGTGATATTAGAGTAAAGGTCGATTGAGGCGCGATAATATCGGTTCTCATCAAGCATCGCCTCAACAATGCACGTCAGGTTCGCATTGTACAGGGTTGTCTGGCAATCGCAGACTTGCCGCCAGAGGTAAGAGCCTCCCTGGCCACAGCAGCAGCTGAAGAATAGATTGTCGTTGATTTTATCATTTGTAGTAGTGCCCTCGCCATCGAACAAGGCCGGTGAAGTTCCCTTGAGGGAGATGACCACCGTGCTATTGGTCTTATCGGCATATACGTGACCTCGGAGCCCGTCTCCTTGCCACCCAAAACTTCCAGAGTGGTTGAACCGACCATGAATATCCTGCCAATCCCCGGTCCCAGGTACCTCGATGTAGTCATTCGCCGTCATCATTGCCAAAGCAACGACCGTCTTCTTCTCTGTGACATTCGGGCCCGGCAGCGTATCCATGACCCAATCGGACGGCGACAGCGCCACTGCCGAGCCCGAGGATCGTGCAGTCACTAGGTGTTCTTCAATGACCGACAGGCGTCGGTCTGCAAGTCTTTCGATTGTGAGCGGTTGTGACGAAGCAACCAGCGGAGTATTCGGTGTGACGACATCGGTTTCGACTCCTTCGTCTGAGACGGCCCGAAGACGAGTGTCTGGCGTGATATCTAGCCGGCGATGGAGATCAGGATCTTGATAAGTTCCTCGGTGGAAGATATGGCGAAGCGTGAATTCGTGGGTGTCTGAGAGGGGGGGCGAGTCACCCAGCGGGATCTGAGGAGGGAGGAAGGGCGACGCTGGTCGGGATCCGAGGTATACGGGCTGATAAGCGGAGATCAGACCTGGAAGTAGTGTCACCGACCATAGCAGGTCGGATAGTCTTGTGTTCCCCCAGGAAGGCTTTTTATTCTGCCCTCGAAGGCCTTTCATGGCGATGCAGTGATGAACAAAGATACAGGGATGATGCTGAGAGATAATAATGATGGAAACAGGGTCGCTTTAGATAACCGGCGCCATCCTGTAGATAGATAGATAGGCAGTAGTTGAGGTGGCCACCGACTGGGCTGGAGAAAGTGGGTATGGGGCTGTCACGTGATAACCACTGGCCCACATACCGAAGTGGTAGATGATCAACCAACATAGCTGAGTGGATCATCCAACTACTAGTAGCTCACATGAGCTGTTTTCCTTTCTTTCTGTCGTCATGCCTATCAAAGTTAGGTATCTCACGCTTGGTTTGTTGGTGGCACCCGCTTCCTTCATGATGGGTTGTTGATGAACACTGTTCATCTACTGCGGAGACGGGTGCTTGTGAAGGACTAGTAGTAGATAAACCCTACTGCAAATTACCATCCAGGATCGTCATTGTCACATATTTATCATACTGAATATATATTCTTTGATGACGGGTATCTTAGGTCCACCATGGCCCCCTAGTCCGTCTACCGAATTTTACCTTGACTAATAAAAGGGCACAAGCACAACACTAATATTGTCCTGCTTCCAGCATGGCATCCACTAGCTACTCACGGATACTATAGCTCGTCATGTACTTTCTCACCTAAAGCCCGACCCAGACTCATCCCCACTTCAACATCAACAGCAATGGCGTTCTTACTCGCTTTCAAAATGTCCTCATCAAACTGTATACGACCCTTCTGGAATGCCACAATAATGGACGACCCTCCAAACTGGAAGATCCCAAGCTCATCACCCTTGTGTATCTGAGTCCCCGATTGCTGATACTGCGGATGAATCCTATTAACCATTAGCACTCTTCAACTGGCACCCACAACTCATAAAGTGCATACCTGACTGTCCCCACCTGCGAAGCCCCAATAGCCACAAAAAGCACTTCCCCAAACTCCTTCGTTTCAATAACCACATAATCCCTCGCATTCCTCGTCAAGATGTCCACCTGACTCTGCAACGCTATCGGATCCACCTCATAATAGTCCCCCGGCATGCTTCGAAACTGCTTGATAGTCCCCGAAACCGGACTATGATACCGATGATAATCCTGCGGCGACAACCGAAAACTCGCCACCGGGCCGTCCGCGAACTTCGGGCCCAACTGCTTATCCATTACCAGATTCGTGATGGAGAAATCATTCCCCTTGATCCAGATCTTCTTGCTCTCGGCTACGGCTTCGTAGGCAACAACGCGCGAGTCGGCAACTATCACGGCAGCCGTGGGGTCGTCTTTACGGTAGATTGGGCGTGAGCCGGGCTTGTGGGCACGTACGAAGAAGTCCTCGAATGTTGCATAGGCTGTTATGTCGGAAGGGGTGAAGTCGTTCATGTTGATGTGGTAGAAGTCAACAAAGGCCTTGATGCGTTTCCGAGATGCAGGGGTGGCTTCTTGTTTGCCTGCTGGGGTCAACGCTGGGTCTCGAGAAAAAGAGACACAGACAAAGGGGAAGTAAAGATGCTACCTTCTTCAATGGCAGTATGATGCAGGTATAATCGCATCAGGTGGGTGGTGTCCAGCCATTCTGTTAACGGGTTGAATAAGAGAAGCAGCTTAAGCTTCTTCCATAGCGGCTGCTGTTCCCGCATGTGTTTACCGGTCTGTCTCCTGTAAGTACGGCGCATGTATTAGAGCGATCAGCGAGGAAGTTACCTTGCGCTCTATGGTGATCCATCCAACCTCTCTATTTTGGACCTAAGACCCGTTAATTGCTGTGGTACGCGACATGGGATAAGACTTACCATCTTAACCAAAGACAGCAGATAGTCTGCTATCCAGTGCAAAAATGTAATAACGAACATTCTGGCTACTGTTCAAGTTGTTGAATCTTGTGAGTTTGTAGCCATTTTCTTTTTCTTCGCGATGGAAATGTGATCGAAATCGTCGCGATGCAACGGCAATGATGTCAGCATGACGGCTTCCCGATGGCAGTATAACTATATACCTAACCATCCACACATACCCTTTTGGGAATACACATCATCTCTCTCCTGGATCACAACATCCCCTCTGTAAGAGGCAGTAGATAATGACTGGTTATTGTTCCAGTACTCACGGTGTCATAGAACTAGCGATGTAGCATAGGATTGGAATTGCCTGTTTGGAATGTTGGAATGAAGTGAAATTGAGCAAGCCTTCCATATGTGTGGAATTCACGATACAGTTGAGGAATCAAGAGCGCATCTAACAATCTGATAGTACCTATTGACATCTGTCTGTGTATTTGTCAAGTGTACTTTCTCGTGTTGTAATGAGCTATCGTGGCTCTCTGACTGGTCGTGTTCTATGGGTCCTTAGCTAAGTAGCACATGCTTTCATGACTAGTAATTTATTCATATGTTGCGGAAAGCTAAACTTTCTGGATATACTGTCCCTTTGCTCATGCGATAACCTAAACTTAATAACGATCGATGAGCTAGCGACCAGAAACAAAGAATAAGGCTCGTGTCCAAAATCCTCAGAGAAACAGCCCACATCCATCCATACAAATTTACATAGCGGGCGCGATCGAGTCAAAGAACATAAAGATGAAATTGAAATAAATCCATACATCTATATTAATCGAAGAAACCTATCATTTCAACCCTCCCGCCAACAGCAAACTCTGCCCCGTCATATACCCCGTCTTCACTAACATAGTGACAACATTAGCCACCTCCTCCGGCAACCCCAACCTCCCCAGGGGAATTGTGCTTGCCACCTCCGGAATGGCCTCAGCATTAGGGATCATCCCTGTATCCCCAATCATCGCCGGCGCAACATCATTGACACTAATATTGTACTCTGCTAACCTCGTTGCCAGGTTCTTCATCATCCCCGTCAACCCTGCCTTTGAGGCCGCATAATGACACCCATTAATGCCACCCCCATACCCCGCAATCGACGACATGAAGATAATCCGTCCCCAGCGCTGCGCCTTCATGTGCTCGACTACCCCCTTGACGAGCAGGAACGAGGCCCGTAGATTCACGGTCAGAGTGTAATCGAATTCCTCCGTCGTGATGTCCCATACTTGCGGGACCCGTTTGCCGTACCCGGCATTGGAGATGAGGATGTCCGGGGTGCGGTTGTTGTGTTGGGATTGGATCTCGCTGAAAAGGGTGGTGATCTGGGTGGGTGAGGAGACGTCGACTTGGTGGATAGTGATAACGAGGGCGGGGTGTTCGTTTTGGAGCTCTTTCTGAAGGGTGGTTATGGATGTCGAATTGGATGAATAGGTGAGGGCTAGGTGCACGGATTTGGCGGCTAGTTGGCGGGCACAGGCGGCGCCGATTCTATGATATTTATGTGTTAATAATGGATTGTTGACTTCAAACGTGGTATGGATGGGAGTGGAAGAGAGTTTACCCTCCTGAGGCGCCGGTGATAAGGGCCAATCGGCCACCAATGTCGTTCAACTGGTCCATGGTGAGTTTGCTAACGAGACTAGAGGGTGAGAAAGATGTGACTATCCAAGTGTCACTAGAACTTTTTCTGGGAAAGGATGGTAGATATAGTAGAACTGCTTACTCGTAATGTCTTCCCCGCTGGTCGGCGCAATTCCGGTCCCCACCCCGCGACATCCTGGATCCACTCCCCGGGCTTTGTTCCGACGGTGCAGCGCCTCGGGAGCTACTGTATGAGCAGTATGCTAATCGGATCGCAATAGACAACCCTACTTGGTGTTCTCATGATGCATACACTAAAGCACCTATAGGGTGCTGAGGTTATTGTCAATAGTGTGCTGTATCATAGCATTCTTTCTGCACGTTGCTGTATAGTCTAATTGAGCTTTCATACCGATCCTCATAGACTTTCGCTGTCTATTAGCCCATGATTGTAGCCATATAAAGCTGATATAGACTTATGAGTTCAGAAAATTCAAAATACTGAAGTAGTATGATATTATCCTATATTACATACCTCTCTAAACGCCGACCTAAAACCCTCAATCTACAACACCAAAATAAAAGCCATCAAGAAACCGCATCTCCTCCACTCTATACATTCTCCTCCTCTTTCTCCACCCTCTCGGCTTGTCTCCCAGATAGCCTGACATACCCAGAATCATATGCCCTCCTAATAGTCGCCCACCCCAGAGAATAATACAACAACCCCAACAGCGCAATCGCATATCCCACCATTTGAAGCGAAGTGATCTGCGTGCCCCAAATCACCACAGAACAAACAATCAACAGAATGTTCTTTGGCACACTGACCAGCGTCATAGTTAAACCGGATGTCTTCCCAATCTAGACATACCCAGGTTCATTAGCACTCACACACACACAATCACCACCTCATCACCAGCCAAAACAGTAAGAAAAGGGATATGCATACCAAAACAAAAATCGACACATTCAACATGAACCCCACCGCGGCATTCGCTAACAACACCCCGAACCCAGTCTCCCCAACCACACTCCAACTGAACCCGCGCAGCTCAGTATAAAACGCGATCATAAAGTTCGTGAAAGCGCACACCGGTGCAGAGTAGTACAGAGTCACTAGGGGATCCATTTTCTGGCCCTCGTCTGACAGGAGGATCTGGATCATGACAAGACGGTTGGCGTCGAAGACAAGGCTGGCGAGTTGGTAGATGACGCCGAGCCAGGAGAATTGGACTTCGCCGGCGACGGCGAGGGCGACACTGAAGGCGATGAGGAGGATGTTTAGGAAGGATTCGAGCGAGGGGGTTTTGACGTGCCAGGCCCAGCTGGTGAGGAGGGTTACTATTGGGCCACAGGCCTGTTTTTGATTCCTTAGTATTGCCAAATCATATTGGGGGCGATGGGAGGCGTACTTTGAGCATTTGGATAAAGGAAACATTCAGATAGAGGTAGACGATGTTGCTGCAGACGAGACTACCGCTGTAAAGAATGCCGATGGGGATAATCATGCGGACGTAGGTTCGGCCGTCCATGCGCATTCTCTTTCGACCGTCGAGCATGGTGGTGGTTCGGGCGAGAAGTTGAGTAGCAAGGGTTGCGAAGACGAGATGCCATGTTGTTAGGATGATTGCTGGGTTGGGATTGTTGGTTAGACTGTCTTGATACACTCCCTCACATCATAAAGACAAACTCACGGTATCCTGGAAAATGTTAGTGGGATGTTCATGTCCGTAGTGAGT